AAGAAAAGAAAAGAAAGGGTTTTTTTCCTTTAAATACAACTAAGGTTTAAGAAAACCAAGTTTATTGTGGAACTATTTATATCAAGTGTTATAAAGATTGTCTTTTCTTTTTTTTTTTTTTTGAGACAGTGTCTTGCTGTCGCCCGGGCTGGAGCACAGTAGCACGATCTCGGCTCACTGCAACCTCTGCCACCCAGGCTCAAGCAGTTCTCCCACCTCAGCCTCCTAAGTAGCTGGGACTATAGGCATGCGCCACCGTGTCTGGCTATTTGTTTGTAGAGACAGGGTTTCGCCATGTTGCCCAGGCTTGTCTTGAACTCCTGAGCTCAAGCAATCCACCGGTCTTGGCTTCCCAAAGTGCTGGCATTACAAGTGTGAGCCACCACGCCAAGCCTAAATTGTTTTCACGTGTCATTATTAAAATCACTTATGTAATTCATCTAAATAATGTTTTATCAGCTTTTGAAACAATTAAATCCTGAAGATCTTTATGTATAAACAGGAACGTAGAATTTATTTGCACTAGGAGAATCCTTATTAATTGAAGGAGAAGATACCAAAGAACTAAATATGTATTTGTTTTGAAAATTTTTAGTGGTTTTATATCTAACTAGTAATCAGGTTATAGGCAAGATGTTAACTTCCATTCTTAAAGGAGAAACTCAAACCTGATATACTTTTTATATTATGTGCTTTTCTTCCACAGTAGGTAATCATTTAATTAATTAATTAATTTATTTGTGAGGCAGAGTCTTGCTCTGTTGCCCAGGCTGGAGGGTAGTAGTGCAATCTCTTCTCACTATAACCTCCACCTCCTGGGTTCAAGCAATTCTCCTGCCTCAGCCTCCCGAGTACCTAGGACTACAGGTGCGTACCACCACGCCCGGCTCATTTTTTGTATTTTAGTAGAGACAGGGTTTCACCTCGTTGGCCAGGCTGGTCTCAAACTCCTGACCTCAAGTGATCCGCCCACCTCGGCCTCCCAAAGTGCTAGGATTACAGGTGTGAGCCACCACGCCTGGCTCATTTATACACATTCAGCAAATAACTATTGAACTCCATTTATGTACCAGACACTGTTAATTGATGTTACTCACTTTTCCTTTCAGAATTAAAGCCTTATCAGTTGTGTGTTCAGATAGGAAGAAGAGACTTTTTCCATTTCTTGTGTTTTCTACAGTTACTCCCTTCCCAAACTGATCAAGTATACAGTTTATAAAAATCTTAAAAACTCATTCTTACTGGTAAATTCATTTTAATAATGAGGGGGAGAAACTTTAAGTAGTTATTAAAAAGAAAAGAATGAATACACATACACACACTAAATGTGGCCGATGTTTCCAGGAGAGATTAGCAACAGAGAGGATCAAATAAAAATTACAGTTTTGCTGGGATTGTCCCCTCTTGGCCACCCAAGTGTTTGTGGAAGAAAGTCTGGAGTTGTTTCCAAGCATCCACCTGAGCCATGGCATGAGCCCTGGGCTCCCCTCCGAAGACAATAGCACTGCCCACCAAGGCATGCAGGGAAGCCCGGCACAGCGGGAAGTAAGGAGGCTCAATATAGTGTCCCGCCCCTGCGTAACAGATGATCTGGGGCTTTCTCCTCCCATGGGCCTGCAAGCGTTTACAGGCCTCATTAGCATAGAACTCACTCTTCCAGTTGTGGTCATCCTGACCTACCAGGAACAGGAAGGTGCTCTCTGCCCTTTCCACAGGAATGAAGCTCTTCTGGTCAGGTCCTTCCAAAGGGCTGTTCAGGACATCCACAATGTCTGCATAGCCATCTTTGGTCACCTTGATGCGATTTCTGTTGACGCCCACAGGGGGCAAGGTCTCACCCTTGTAGTGTAAGGTTCCCCCAACATTGGCCACAGAGCCGTTGATGATGACAGCAGCCGTGATGCCCTTCAGGAAAGAGGCCATGGAAAGGCAGAGCTCACCCCCTTTGGAAACTCCAAGCAGCCCAACTCCTGGACCTTTTACCTGAGAAAGGCACAAGGAAAAAGAAGAAGAATGACTCCACAAACAGTGGAATACGGTGAGTTGTGCCCACCCTGGAAGTTACTTGAACCTGAGTCTGAATCTGGGTTCTACCATTTACCCAGATTTGCAGCTTTGGGAATTTACCCCCACTGTATCTCTTCCTTTCCATAATTTCTCCATCACCACTCTTGGTGATAACCATGTAGAAGATCTATCAACCACTCCGGTTTCTCAGTTCCTTAATCTCGTATCTCCCATGATCTTTTTCTCTCTCCCACCTGAGCCACCCATTCCCACTGTCATAACTAAACTGAGTCATCATCAACAAGTACATCAACTCATGGCCGGGTGTGGTGGCTCACGCCTGTAATCCCAACACTTTGGGAGGCTGAGGCGGGTGGATCACTTGAGGTCAGGAGTTTGAGACCAGCCTGGCCAACATGCGTGACAGACCCCATCTCTACTAAAATACGAAAACACAATTAGCGCAGGCAGTCAAGATGCGCATGCACGCTGTCAGTCCCAGCGTACTGGCGGAAGGCCTGCGGCCAGGAGAATCGACTTGAACCAGCGGCGGGCGAACCCGGGAGGCTGCAGGGTTGCAGTAAGCGTGAGATCATCGGCCATTGCACTGCCCCAGCCTAACGGTGACCACAAACAAGAACTCCCCATCTCAAAAAAAAAAAAAAAACAGAAAGAACAAAAACGTACCTGGACGATGCTTCAGAAAAATTGTGTAACTCGCCACTATGAGCTATCATTCACACTAGAGGACAAAATATAGTAACACTAGAATTGCATTAGAGAGCTGTCTTTAAGAGCCAAGTGTGGCTGCGCTCACGACCTGAATTCCAGCAACTCCTGGGAGGCGACTGAGGTGGGCAGCATGCAGCGTTGAGGTCAAGGGAGTTTGAGACCGCAGCCTGGCCAAGCACAGGCAAATCCGCATCTGCTACTCACAAAAAGGCCGAAAAAAAAC